AAGTGTAAAGTAAAACTCTGGAGAACATCAAAGAAAAATGGCCATGCATCTGCTCTTTAATGTTTTCCTACGATATATTAAAATAAAAACAAAGTTTCAGTCTCTTCAACAAGTAGTAAATTTATATTCTCTGGATTTTTTCAGCCACAACAACTGGATTCTCTTTTCTGATTTTTGCTGCAGCTTCTGCTTTGTAATCATATGGGCAGTTGTGCTTGTCAGAGTAACGGTGAAGTCCACAAAACAAATTTCCACATCGGCAGTCAAACCCTATACAAACAAGAGGAAGCAGAGTCACTTGGAAACTTGAGGCAATTAAAAGGAAACAACTCTTTGTCACTCTAGAAAAGGAACTACATTTTCACTCCATTTTGCAACATAAAAGACAAGACAGCTGACAGTCTACACTTTAAACTGTGAAAACACTTGATAATCTCAATTGACATGGTAAGTGGTTGTTTAAATACTATGTGAATTCTTATCTTCAGAGTAATAGGAACTGTGATGAAAGTGCTTAGTAAACCACCCCATATTAGGAAAGCAAAATGGGCCACCAGGTTAATTCTACCAAGTGCGTTCTGCTTCCAAAAACTCCAATAGACATGAGGGTCTTGAGGACCCTGTATTGTTGTTGGTTAAGTGCCATTACGAATTGGTTCCGTCTAACAGTGACCTGGTATAGGGTTTCCGAGGAGCAGATGGTGGGTTTGAACTGCCAATCTTGTGGGTTTGAACTGCCAATCAGTCCAGTGCTGATGCTAGTAGGACCATGGAGGGGGCTTCAAAAGTTTTATGGAAAAATGAGTTAAAAGATCAGTAAGTTTTTCCACACTTTTTGAAGCCCTCCCCCACCCCCCACATTAAATGTTTAATATTTCAAGTGAAAACTAAGAAAAGACAACCATTAGGTTAAGCTCTGAGATTTAAAGTTACAGGTGAAATGTATCTACTACATCTTATACCTAGTTCAAAAACCTGGTATTTCCCCACAATGTGCTAATACATGCAATATATGGAAATGGTCAAAACTAAGTAAAATATTTGTTAGTGTGCCCATGCATATACTGCACTTCTTGTGACATTTTCAGAAGTGAATTTTGGCTACACTTACCCACCCCTCCATATTACAGGTTGTTATTAAGTGCCATTGAGTGGGTCTGACTCAAAGTCAAAGTACACAGCTGAAGCTTTAAACTTTCAAGGGAGCAGAAAGCTTCATCTTTCTCCCGTGGAGTGGCTGGCTGACTCAAACTGCATCTTTGTGGTTTGCAGTCATATGGAACCATTGTTGTTGCCGAGTCGATTCAGAACCATAGTGACCCTTAGAGGGTTTTCCAAGAAGCACCTGGTGAGCCTGAACCACTGGACTTTGCAGTTCCAGCGACTTTGCAGTCTGACACATTAGCCCACAACGCCACACCAGGACTCCTCACATTTACCATATTACAGAGGTAAAGTGTATCACTTGTTCATTAAAAAAAAAAATCTCCTACTTAAGGGCTACAAATAAATATAGTCTGGAAATGTTACTTTTGATAACCATGTATTAACATAAAGGTATGTGTCATGATTAAGAAGTCATGGATCAAGTCTGCGAGTCTCCTGGTAAATGGAAAATAATCAAAACTCTTAAGGTTGATAAATTATAGTGCATTAGCTCAATAGTTGAATGTGGAAAATCTTAACACATCATCTTAAGTAAAACTGTTAGGGTATGTTAGCTTTGCTTAATTTCTTATTTTAATCATGCCTTCTTAAGAAGTATCAGTTAAGTCAGCAATAAGAAAAAAA